TTTTTTTTTTTTTTTATGTCTGAGGCTCCAAACCCTTTTATTTTGGCTTTGTTAAGCATCCAGTTGCAAATTACTGCAGCTGACAGAATATTTCATTCCGTTATTTTAAATATCTCTAAATTTCTTCTTGCTTATAGAGAATCTATGTTACTACTTACAATACACTATAGCCAAAAAATTAATTTATAGATACCCAAATTAGAAATACACCAAAAAAATATATCTAAGGACTTTTAATACTAATGACAGATCAAAATATTTCAAGGTGCTGATCATTTGTAGTTCCTAGAATTTAAACATTAGTTGAGGATAGGCATCTTAAGGCCTTTGAAAAACAGACTGCCAGATGCTTTTACTCTCCTGTGTTTGTACATCATCTAATGCTCTTGTGATCCCTGACTAGCATTTCAGGAACGATAGCAAAGGAAGATGACAAGATGCTAGGAAAACATTTAAGTACAAATAAGACCTGATTCATCTCATTTACTTAAGGAACCTCAGTCACTAGGACTAGCTTTATAAACTTCTAATAAAAATACTTAACAAAGGCACTTCTAGAGAGCAACACAAACTACCTCAGATCTAAAAATTCAGTGTTCGCAAGCAACAAGGGTAGAAGGGGGCAGCAAGAAATAAATCAATAGCAAAAAAGAGCCAGACTATAGATCTGTGTATAAGTAACCTCTTTTCATTCTCTCATTGCTTTAAAATTGCACAACACAACTCTTAAAAATCAACTATTTGTCACTAATGTTAATCAACAATATCTACTCCAGTTACTGATTATTAATTCTCAAACACTGAAATGTGAATGGAAATGTTCAGAAATGGTTTTGGAAAGTTTAAGACACATTAAAAAATATTTCAGAAAGACAGAAAAAGTTGTGGAAATTTATGAGATTAGTATAAATTATTGATGGGAAAGGGGAGAAAATGAACTCTTCATAGATTATTCTTTCTTTTTACTGATTGAAAAACAACCTTTCCTAATTATTAAAATAACTTATTAGGTGCCAGCTGGCTAAATTACAAATCAATCGTGGAGTAAAATTCTGCCCTCAAGCTGTGCATTTAGCTCTAGCAATCGTATCGGTGGGAATTAGTAACAGACTTTACAGCTGTATTGGCCGTCATGTCATTAACACACCTACTAAAGTCAGAGCAATGCTTAGGAGTCCCTGTTTCAAAACTGCCAACATGCAAAATATATTAATGTAATTACAACTCCTAATGCCTAAATGGCCATTTGAACAATTACTGGTATTTTAGTTTTAATGATTTTGTATATACAAGCTGTACATCTGAAGTTCTGGAAAAGCAGCTGTTGGAACTCTTGTCTATCTACCTGCATGCAGTCACGAGAAAAAGTTTCCACTTTGTCAGACCTTTGCAAACAACAAAAAATGAAGCTGAAAGCAAAGACTTATTTTGACTTTGGACACTAGAAATTAACTAAGGAATGAACAGAAGACATTTTTTCATGCAATGCCTTATGAATTCCTTCTAGGTCTTGAGAATAGAAAAATAATCCACACTATGCAGCAGCATATTCTTCATAACATTCCTGATCTAGATTTCAGTCCAACACACAGATACACAGGTAGGCAGCAACCTCTATTGAAGATAGCAGCTGCATGAAAACCTAATCTCTGATTAATGCTTTTTTACCAGAACGTATGCTGTTGAAATCTACCATGAATACAAAGCCATTTTCACCTGTCTACAGAATACAGACAGATAATCTTCTTTGTTCAGCTTTATGTTTGTTAATTTTTTCTGGGGTATTGCTACCAACATGACAGGCATTACAGCATTTTGAAAGAAACAGAAAAATTAATATCAAAATTTGATCCAGTTCTTTGTTGACTTACCTTGCCAACAGATCTGGGGAATGGTGGTCTTTGATTTTCAGGAATTAATATTGGAGTTGCCAAAATAGCCCTTTTTTGTCTTGGAATTCCAAGGTTGCCTTCTATCTTAAAGATTTCCTAAAAAAAAAGAAAAAAGATAAATGACAAAGACTTTCAATATAACATTCACTTATTTCCATTCTCTGCATCTTTAGGCAAAATAAACACGAATTACCAGATTCCAGGTTTTGTATTATATGTTTTCCAGCAATTAGTGATACTATATCAAACTCTTTATCTAAATCTATCAGGTTACTGCATTTCTTACAGTGACAGCAGATAGGCTGTATTCATTTTGTATTCCTGTAAACTAGTTTTACACCTAAGCAGTCTGTTTACCATCCTAACCTGACGACTGCTTAAATCATAAATCTTAAACAAGGTCTGATTTACCTCAAATACTTGCATGAGATCTGTAAAAAGCCACACTTTAAACACCTTACATAATTTTCACATCTCAAGTCGCATCTATATTCAGTCGCTTCTCTGTTCAGGCTTTTAATCAAACAGAACATACAGGGGAATTTGCTGAGACTGTCACAAGTTAATGAACTCGCAATAAACATAAAAAGCTTGTAGGTAAAAAAATTTAAAAATAGACACCAAAACCCAAGTGTAACTTAGAATATCAGCTAGTAGGGGGTTTTTGTGTTGGTTGGTTTGGGTTGTGGATTTTTTTGTGGGTTTTATTTGGTTTCTTTTTTGTTTGTTTTCTTTTTCTTAGAGAAAACTTTGTGCTACTATAACAGAAAGAACAAAAGTAAAAGTGGTTTGTACACAAGTCATCTTTTTCCTGCTGCATTTTCTCGAGTTTCTAGCTGATTAGGCAATTCAGCACTTTATGAGCTACAGCAAACTCTTCACAGTGGCCTCTGGCCCCTAGAAACTCTGTCCATCACACCTCCACTTTCCCTTCCCTTCGGCTGTCTGATCCCCTCAGTGCTCTCTCTGCATGACCTGCAGTTTCTCAGAGAGATCACTCTTCCTTTTGTTTCCTCCTACAGTCTCTGCAACTCTTTTCTCCAAGCACAGTTACTACTGAGGTCAAAACCAGCCTCCTCTCATCTCCCAAGGCTCTCCTCTTGATCCAGGCCCCTTTTTGGAAAACAAAAACAACCCCCAAAAAACTAACATACAAATTTGTACTGTGTTGGGAATTGTGAAACTGAAAGATTTAGATCACTACTCATTTAGGTTGTCATGACAGTTTTACAAAAGAAATCATAGGTTGAAATAAATGTTGAATTCCAATAAAGTTGTTACATCCTACAGATAACACTTTGCTCTCATAATGCAGAAACTCCAGAAACCTAAGTTTCTCACTCAGATCTAGAATCCATCTTGTTGTTTTAATAGTTGCTACTTTATTACATAAGGAGAATTCCATCCCTAGGCTGTATTTTCATAAAACTGCAAAACTAAAATGAGTTTTCTGGGTGGCACAATCTGGACATCCATCACTCGAGAACTCCACAGGCTGCTCGTGCTGTCATCTGTAAAGGTGTCTTCATCTAATGAGTCTATCATCACCAAAACACTGCTCTACCTCTACTAGCTTTAGCATGTCTTTTCAAATTTGACAACAAACAGTAACAAGGGAAACTCAAGTCTTCAAAAGTCAGCTTTAGATATGATAAAGTCAAAGAGCAGTGGGAAACATGCAGAGAATTCCCTTCTCACAATTTTGCCAATTTTCATAAATTTTTGAGGCTCACCCTGATACAGAGTTCCCATCTCTCCCAAAGGCTTTGCCACTTCTCTCTAATCTTTCAGTCTGCAGCCCACTGGGGTCCCTATTTTTGTCTTTCAATTCCTCTCCCAAAAGAATTTTCCCTAATAAAAATTCATGAGAAAATTCAAGATAAAAACATTTGAAGTGTCAAATAAAAAGGAAAGAGATGAATTCTGTCCAAAGGCAAATGCACAGAGCAGTAAGCTTTCAAAATCACTTATACTGTAAACACAGCAGTTTGGCGAGCATGTGTCTATGACATATCTAAGGAGAGTAAAAGTGACTACCAGTATGTCTAAACAGAAATACCAGTTCTTTAGCTCAGCAGCAGTGCTCAACTGATCACTATTTTTGCTCGTGCTAACTCCTACCTCCATGGTTGCCTTTCAGCTCATGAAAATGTAAGAAAGAACTCCCAGATGCACGCTCTTTGGAAATGAGCAGGACACTTATTCATATTTACATCTCTTTGTATCATATAATGGTTTGGGTTGGAAGGGACCTTTAAAGGTCATCTAGTCCAACCCTCCTGCAATGAGCAGGGACATCTTCAACTAGATCAGGTTGAGCCCTGTCCAGACGGACCTTAATGTTTCATGTTTCTTCCTATGCTAGTTTGAGGAGTAAATAGAACTTTTTATTTCAGATTGTTCAACATCTAGATCTCCCAATTTTTGTAGTCACAGAGCTATAAACAATTAATTCATTGCTTTTGCATGATGAGTTATTGTTATACTTTCCCCAGAAGGTCCACAAATGGAAGAAAAAGACAAATTATATTAAATGAACATTCATTAAATTCTAAAGGAAAGTAGAAGGGTGGTAAGACTTAAGGCATTCAAGGTCCGATTTCCAAGCAGGACTTCAGAACAAAAACAAAAAAAAAAAAAATAAAAAAAAAATAGTATTGTTTGTTTTTAAACACAAATAGTTTGTTGCACGGAGAAGAAAGCTTCAGCAGATTGGGCGCAGAAAAGCAAGCACTTCTCCGAGTATGTTTCACAATGTTTATTCTTCAAATCTCACTGCTAGTTTTTAAATATTGATTTCTTCATGACAATTTCTCCTTTTCTTACCATCTCCTGGCATCTGACAGCAATGTGACTGATTAAATGAGTAGCTAAAAGCATCACTATGGAATGCAGGTAAACAGAAAGGAAGAAAAGGTCAAGAGTACTTCACCAACATGTTTAATAATTCAGTTCTGTTTGTGGTTATCATAATGATTTCCCCATTTGTAAAGAACAGGGAAAAAGAAAGAACGTTTTGCTTACTGCCAAGCAGCTGCAACTGATGGTTTGATCCTCAACCAACATAAGAAGACAGAAGGCAAAGAACCTGAAATTATATGTGCACTTAGCACCTCATTCAACAGTCAAAACACTGAAAAGATTCTCATTCATGAGTGGATATATTGCATATATAGTAATTTTTACTGAATTCATCTATTTAATTTCATGAAGAAGCAACTCACAAGGGATATTGAATTACTTCAGATAGAGCTGGTAATTTTGCTTCAAATTTTCTTACAATATCAGGTTAGCATTGTAACAGGAGTCATCTTTTGCCCCTTAATCCAAGTGAAACCCACAAAGGAGTTTTCTGTCATCTTTGCTGGAAGCAGCTGATCAAAGACTATAGTACTTGTCATGTCTTTGTAGAAGCCATGACTCCGGACAAATATTTATGTGTATTTTTTTATTATTGTAAGTATTATTAAGTTGTCAGTCTGGAAAACTTAGAAAGGCAGGTCCCAGATGGGTGGTGTTCAACCAGCAAGTAGAGATCCAATGGCTGTGATTACCATCTGCTTCTCCCATGCCTGCTGGTTTGTACAACAAACAGATCTAAAGTGTGCATCCAGAAACATCCATCCACAAGGAAAATAATAAAAAAATAATTATTATAAATATATGCTTCCTAAGAAAAGTACACCAAAAATAAAAATTCTGAGTTTCTTAATGATTTTTTTTTTTTTAATATAAACCAAAATGGTAGGAGAGAAATCCTATCAGTTTCTTTATTTTTATTATTTAACTGAAATATCCCGTGATCACTATTTTTCAGCTGCTATTTTCATGGACCGTGGATTATCTGATCAGAATCCAACTATCATTTCACTGTCCGTCATTTCACAACCAGCTTTTACAACCTTTTTACTTCACTGATTCCCTATTCTTATTAAGAAAGCAGCAAACACAGTCTCCTCATTTTTCCAGTATTTAGGTAAGGCTTTTGCTGAAAGATGCCAGTCTGCCCAAATCATGATGCTACACAAGTTGCAGTTTCACTCTACCCCTTCAGAACTCTCCACTCTGTTTTGTTTTTCTTTCTTTTTACCAGAGGTTCTTGGGAACACTGCAGCACTTTAATATTTGAATGAATAGCCCAGTCACTATCCAGTAGCAGGCGCGATTACTCTTGGCAAAGAAAATTCTGTTGGAACTTGTCATAGGAATAAGGTGGATGAATATTGATATCAATTTGTCACAATAACGGTTGGAAACATCACTGGAGTAGCAATCTGTAATCTGCTATGGTGACCAGAAAAGTGGTTGAGTTTCTTGCCATTTAGTAGTTTTTATATACACTAAGCTTGATGGTATAAAATGGGCTCAGTCCCAAATAGAAAAAAAGAAAAAAAAAATTAATTGGATGTTTTTTGCAAGCAAAATTCCTCTTTTTTGTGCTTTAATACTTAGTTGCTTTATATATATTATTTCTATCATCAGAAGTGACTATCAGTACTATTTATAATTAATGATTTCTAAAACATGTGCCAAAACAGAAAAATATTTTCTCATGTTGTTGATAATATGAAAATCTCAGAAATGTGCTGGAACTTTACTTGTAAGTTAAAGAACAACTGTTAAAACAAGTAATTAACTCAATTAATAAAGTTAACAATTTTAAAGGTCAATGGCAAACACACCAACATCTGCTCAAAAGTAGTCGTCTGTCCTCAACGCCTGTTAATGTCACCCTACAAATGACACTGTATACTTCAGAAGAACAAATGCAGCTAAAATTCCAGCTTGCTAAGGGGAATCAGGTATGTTAGACCACAGAAGCTTCCAGGCTTGTGAAGCATGGCCAGATATAACATCTGGGTAATGGAAATTGCTGGTGGAAGTTGATTTAATTACTCTGGGTGTTTCTACAATTATAATTGTTACATAAATAGAGAGGCAGATCCTTACGTTGCCTGACTGAAACACCCATAAACTTCAAAGACACTTGGTAATCTCGGACTATAGCTTTGCTACTGTGCCGCTCAGCTAGCTGTGTATTTTTATAGGATGGAGGTTCCTTTTATCTTTAGAGGAGCCAAGGACATAACAGGAAA